GATGTTCAGCTCTCTAGCAAAACTCGCTCCGCTCAGCCCAGCGATTGGTTTCGCCCGGTCGAATTTATTTCTTATGTCTTAAACCGCAGGAAAGACTTTGCCTTGGCAGGAGACTTCGGCTCCAGTGTCCTCTCTTAGAAATCCCCGAGTTGCATTGCATTAATCCTCGGGTTTGTTTTATGAGGATGTGTTTTTTGTTTGGCTTTGGAACAGCTTGTGGTGGTCTTTGACGCTTCGGTCGGTGAATAGAGCTGCTCTTTTACTGAGAGATCCTTGCGTTAAGCTTAGTGTCTTGAGCAGGAAAAGCTGTGAAATTGGGAGTGTTTCCGCTGCCTCCTCCTTTGGGGTTTGGAGCAGGATGCAGTTCCCATCGCTGCTGTCCGGCACTCCTGGATCACTGCGGGCTCCGTTTCCAGCCTGGCGAGGGGGAGCCCTGAAAAGCGACTGCCCACACCTTCGGCCGGTCCCAGAGGATGCTCCGGGGTCGTTCAGTGCTCGGAGCACTGGGAGGTTTGAACTCTGTCAGGGCTCTGGGATCATCGCTCCCACCTCCTTGCACAGCTGCTGCTTCCCGGGAGCAGCTCTCGGGGCTTAAAGGGAACGTTGGCATTGACAGCAGCCTGCGGGGAGATGCTTCTTTTATTCCACCTGGGGAGTTGCTGATATAATTTGTAAAGCTTTCTCGGGGATTCTTTCCCAAATTCTTCCCTTGAAGTTATGAAATGAAGTTCCCTTGGGTTGTGAAACGATAGCAATCTTTTTCACAATAAATAAGTAGCACTTCCTTCCTGTGTTGTCTTTGCATGGTGAGCTCATAGTGTTTCCGTGTGTGAAGGAATCTTGTGGCACTGGGGGATGTGGTTTAGGGGTGACTGTGGTGGTGCTGGTTGATGGTTGGACTCAGTGACCTTGAAGGTCTCTTCCAACCTTGATGGTTCTGTGAGATTTTGAAGCATTTTGCTCTCGATAGGTTCTTGTCCTGAGTTTTGGCCATGAAGGCTCAGATGACAGTGTTGCTCCTTGTGGGATACTGTCAGGGAGGGAGGGGAGTACGGAGAAAATAAATATTACAACAAGAAAAGGTTTTCCTACCCTGGCTGCACTTGCTGAGTGTTTTCTTCAGCAATACTCGTGTCCCTCTACCATGGGATAGGGTGATTTGGTTTGTTCTTTGCTTTGGGGTTTTTTTTTTGGTTGTTTTTATTTTCAATCAAATGATCTCCAAAGTTGAAGCCTTTCACTTCCAAATCAGCTTCCAGAACATGAACCTGAGTGCTGGCAACTAAGCCTAGGAGCCCTAGGCTGTGGCACAGTGTTTACTTGAGGGATGAGAGTCTGCACTCTGCCATCTCCACCACCACAAGCTGTTTCAAGGCCAAACAAAAAACACATCCTCATAAAACAAACCTGAGGATTAATGCAATGTAACTTGGGGATTTCTAAGTGATGATACTGTAGGTGAAGTCTCCTGCCAAGGCACCGTCTTTCCTGTGGTTTAGACATACGACATTATGGATGATACAGGAAAAAGTTTTTTTCTCAGCAAGTGTTTGGAACAAAATCTTTCATGTTCTATGGCTGGTGGTGTGGAAGTTTTGTTTCCACATACTGGGCTGAATCAGTTGATTATTATGAAAGAAAGAAATTCGAGACATGCATTAATTGACTTGAAATGAGCTAATGCTGTAGTGGGTATGATAGATTTTATCTTGAATTTAGATACAAGCATTTTTCAGCAGCACCAATAGCCAGATCTCTGCTGTCATCAGCCCTTTGACATTTTGAAGCTTAGCTGGAGCTGTGCAGGGTTCTCACACTCCTCTGCTGGCAGCTTTGTTCCTATCAGTGCTTTGCTCCACTAGGGTGTGACACACAGGGTCTTGATTTTAAAATACTTGGTAAGAGTAAAGAGGAAAAGCTAACAGTAATAAATCTGGGTTTAATGTGGGCCTGTTTTAAGGTAGAAGCATTAAGAATTGTTTTGCTGTTTGTTTTATTCAGGGCGTGGAGATGGATTCACCAGAACGAGCCACAATTAGAAGTGAGCAGAAATCCAGGTAACTTGTGTGGCAGAGGTGATACAAAACTGTCTCTTACTGAAAATCGGAAACCACGGTGGGAATAAATTACTGAATGATACAAGAACAAGAAGCTTGAAAACTTGAGATGATCCCAGTAACTAGGTTCTCCACTGACCAAGAGTTTCATGCTCAGCTAAGCTGTTTGTGAGGAATAAATAGTGAACCTGCTGAGAGGAAACAGTTTGGGCTGCAGGCAGAGGCAGGCATGGGGGTTAACAGATCATTCTGTGTGTAGACACTAGCTAGCAGCCTTATCTGTGTGTTGTCTGAGGCCATTTCAAGTTAAACATTATAGATTGAGCTAGATAGTTCCAAGTGGCTGTGGGACAAGAGGTGTTAAACATCCACGTTACCAGGAACTGAAAATCTGCAAAGGCAGTTTGGAAAGTCAGGGGAATGCTGAGGTTCTGTGTTCCTGAAACCCTTGTTTGTACAGAATTGATTTTGCTGTGGGGTGTAAATGCATTATCACTTCATTGCTGAGTAATCATGAAAGGCAGATTTTCCTGACAGATCCCTGTGCTAGGTCCTGCAGGGAACATGGGCACAGCTCCAATACATCTCTGAGAGGGATCTGTGTGTAGTAAAGTATGAGGATGAACCCTTGATCTGAACCAGCACAATTCCTGTGGTCACATATCCTACACTGAGGATAAATGAGAATAAAAGCTACTAATGCTTCCCAGAAAAACAAAAATTTGTTTCTTTGGATATTGTGACTTGTTCCTTTGAAATGGTTCTATTTCCTTTCTGTCGGACATGACAAACTCAGTCAGTGTGTTGCCTGTTTTTTTAAAATTTCCTTGGAGATGGTATTTGCCTAGCCTAGTGGCCTGGAAATTGGCAGTTTCCAGTTTGGGTTGTAGTATTATAGTATGTTGAGGGGTTGGAATGGACCTTAGACATCATCCAGTCCCAACCCCCTGCCCTGGGCAGAGACACCTCCCACCAGAGCAGGTTGCTCAAGGCTTTATCCAACCTGGCTATGAACACTGCCAGGGTTGGGGCAGCCACAGCCTCCCTGGGCAACCTGTGCCAGTGTCTTAACCACCCTCACAGGAAAAAACTCCTTCCCAGTATCTAATCTAAACTTCCCCTCTTTCAATTTATCCCCATTACTCCTTGTCCTGTCACTATAGTTCCTGTCACAGAGTCTCTCTCCAGCTTCCCTGTAGCCCCTTCAGACACTGGAAGGTTGCTACAAGGTCTCCACACAACCTTCTCTTCTCCAGACTGAACAGCCCCAACTTTCTCTGCCTGTCTCTGTAGGGAGGGTGCTCCAGTCCTCTTAGCAGCTTTGTGGCCTCCTCTGGACTTGCTTCAACAGTTCCACATCCTCCTTATATTTGGGACACCAGAACTGTGTGCAGTACTCCAGGTAGGGTCTCCCAAGAGCAGAGAGGGATCTTGAAGACGTTAGTGATTTGAAGTTGTTGCCATTTTTCTCTGGTATTAACTGTGCACACTTACTTGTCTAAGATGACAAAAGGCTTCAAAGCCTGAGAACTCAGGTGCTGCTTGTTGATTGGAATTTTGCAGAAGCTTTAATGGCTAAGACGAACCTCGAACTCTTCAGGCAAGGCAGGGAATGCACCGTGAACAATGAAGATTTATTTTTTCTCTTTTCAAGAAAATTCCTAAAAAGTCTAATCAGAAAGCAGCCTCGGGACCTGCTCCTGGTGATCGGGACGGGGGTGAGCGTGGCGGTGGCCCCAGGAATCCCAGCACTGTGCTCCTGGAGGAGCTGCATCGAGGCTGTCATCGGAGCAGCTGAGCAGCTGGAGGTGCTGCACCCGGGGGACGTCGCTGAGTTCCGTAAGAAAGTGATCAAAGAGAGAGACCTGCTCGTGGTTGCACATGATCTCATCAGGAAGATGTCACCAGTGAGTGTGTTTGTAACCTCCGTTCGTTTCTGAGATTGCTGCATACTTTTATTCTGTTATCAACAAAGACTATTTCCAAAACTTGAAGCTTTTCTGGTAAAACTGGAAGTTCTGTGGGTGGAGAGACCCTGAGAGGCAGGTAGGCCTTGACCCTACTGATGGCCTTTGGTCACACAGAGCAAATCAGCTCTGTGGACAGCACATACAGGCCCCGTTCCTCAGCCATCCACCCAAGTTCCCAGAGGTTTTCAGGCTGAGTTAAGACCTTTGCCAAGTCTTCCAGCTGAAATAACCAGGGTGACAGACACAGTGCTAAGTGTAGGCTGTGGTTAGCACTTGGCAACACGTGGTGAGCCCAGTGTGATAATAATCTCACTCTTCTGGTAGAAGTCTGTGTGTTTGTACCAGATTTAATTCTTAATACATTTTTCTCAACCAGGAAGGAAAAAAAAGAAAGCAAATAAACACCCCACCTTTAATAATGTATCCCAAACTGTGAATCCAGGGAATGCTCATTTTAGTGTTGCTTTATTGTGCCTGTGTCACAAGCTCTCTTGAGCCACCCAAAGTATTGTTTGGAGCTCTAAGTGGAGGCAAGAGTGCTGGAATAATGTGAGATTTGTTTTGGATGGTTCTGCCTGCTGTGCTGTGCAAACTCTCTTTTTAAAGATCTGCTTTGGCATTAAGTATCCAGGTGATGTGGGTTCCTGTGGGAGGCAGTGACAACAGAGCACGTGGGGCCTGATGAAATGTTCCTCTCCCCTCTCCTCAGCGCACCGGGGACACGAAGCCCAACTTCTTCCAGGATTGCTTAATGGAGGTGTTTGATAATCTGGAACAACACATTCAGAATCCCATGGTTCTGCAGTCCATCCTGAGGCTCATGGAGAGAGGCACAATGGTTCTGACTACCAACTATGATAATTTGCTGGAAATATTTGGTCAGCAACAGGGCAAACCTATGGAATCGTTAGACCTCAAAGATAAGGATAAGGTATGGTAAGAGCAGTAAAATTACTAGACCTGATGATATAAGACAAGGCAGCACATAAGCTTCATTGAAAGATGTTCTCCTGTTTAAAGAGTGTCAAGACTAAAAGTTGTTAATTGGTAAAGCATGTCTGTAAGCTGCAGACATTTCTTTGCTGTGTCTCTTTACTCTGAGTAATCTGGTAACAGTTGCCAAGGTGAATTTCAGTGACACGTTTATTAACCTGTTCTCCACATTCCCTGGAAAAAACTCACAAATTTCCTTGTGAAGTCATTGTTAAAATCCTAAATAGGATCTCTCCTGGCTGGTAGGTAACTTGCAGGTCAGATCTTTTCTGTCAGTGTTGCTGGAAGTTGCTTCTTGGCTGAATGCTTGTTTAAAAACCCTGAGACAGCATCAGCCATCAGCTCTTTGTCATGAGTTCAAGTGAGCTGCGTAATTAGTAATGGCAATCTCTCGCTGCGGAACAGTGCAGGGCGAGTTATTCCTGCTTGAAGTGGTTCCTATAAGTCACTTCAGCTGTACAGTTTTGCAGAATCCTGGTGGCTAACAAAAGGCTGTGTCCTGCATGATGTGCTTTAGGTTCTCCAGTGGGCCAGAGGCCATGTGAAATACGGAGTGCTTCACATCCACGGCTTGTACACAGATCCCTGTGGAATGGTGCTCGATCCCTCGGGATATAAAGATGTTACTCAAGATCCTGAAGTCATGGTTTGTGTGATCTTTACATTTCACTGTATTTTGCCAAACTTCTATTGTAATGGCTGCAGACACGTTACCTGAGGCTGGGGCTGTGTGGGGTCACATAGATCAGACACTTGGGGCCCAGAGGACTCACTCAGAATTGTCCTTCTGTGTTGCTAGGGCAATGTGTGCTCTTG